GAAGATAATTTGAGAAGAAAAATGTTACAAGAAGCAAATATAGAAATATCTTGAGAAGAGAACAAACAAAACAAAAACAATCAAATGTTGAAAACATTGCTAACCCAATAGGCAGACACAGTTTCAACAAGTTCATCTTTGCTGAAATTACTTTGAATTTTTTTCTTTTTTTTTCTGGCTCATGTCATTGAAAACAACATTAAGTAATTTTGGCAACATCCCACCCAAATTTCTTCCATCGGCCAGCACTTACTATTCAATAAACACAAGATACCAACCTGGCCTGACTAGAAGAGTAGGCTAACTACCAACTAAATTATGAAGATTGATGCTCAAGACCAAACATATGCAAACTACTAAACAATAGAAAACACTTATTACAGCAACAATAGAAATTTTCTCATGTCAAGAGATAACAAGCATTGATTGGCTATAATTTTGCAGTGGGTATTATTACTTATAAGAAAAAGGGGCTTCCCCCCTTTTTTAAAAATTTCTTCTGTTATTTTGACCCAGTCTCTGATTAACCATTGACAATGTATTACATTCGCAATGACAAGATGAGAAAATTTAAATAGAAGAAAGTAGAGAAAATCACAGTAAGCTGTCAGAGAAGAAATACAAAGTTAAACAGATTCTTGAATCCCTAAATTACCAGAAGTTTAAATGCCATGAAATCAATTTTCAGATTTTTCAATTACAACACACAAAGAAATGATTCTTGTGAATTCTAGGTAAATAATAATAAAGAACTTTAGTAATATATGGTTTCCATACGTCAAATCACTGTTGAATTTGGATCATAAAGTATATAAAACTCCCCCCCCCCTTCCAAGTAACATGCACCTTCAGGATATGGGCTATCACGGCTCTCCTATGTTTCCTTTTCTTTATTATCCATAAATTGTCAGGACTTCTAGGGAAAGATAATGGAATGTTTTCCCATTGCCTTTTTGCAGACTTGTTGCCACCCAAGGTTACAGAGCCCAGTCTACCCTGCTATTTAATCATAGCTTTAAAAAAAAAAAAAAAGGAGATGAATTCATGCCTTTCTCAAAGATATAAGTATGAAAACTATCTAAATGTATTTTATAATTTTAATTCATTCAGTATAAATAGATATTTCAATTGTATACTAAACATAACATTCATCAAGACAAAATTATTATTAAAGTATTTTTATGAAGTCATAAAAGACATTTCTTTATATTTATTTTCAGACAACACAACATTAAATTTGAATGTTTCTATCACAAAGTTATAAGGATTAAGTGATTTTATTACTCCAATGTAAGAATGTAAATGATTTTTGAAATAAAAACAACCTTAATAACAATCTTCAAAGATTAGTTAGTTAAGAAAGTTTTTCAAGCATATGAAACAATTCTGTAGACATGTATTACTGTAACAAGCAGGGAATATAAAGTTAATAATTACTGATTTATAAATTATGTTTTATTATTGTTTAAAGTCCCAAGCAAATTTTGTATTTTATATAATTTTTCCTCAAAATAAAATGATGATTCCAAATAATTTCAATATGTTCAACTTCCTTACAAAGATGATAGTGAAGATTAAGATTAATGGTGAAAAAAAGGCTTTGAGCGAGGAAAGCCTTTTTGGTTTTAGCAAGGTCATTCTTCTTTGAACATTGTGGACTGGTGCTACAGAATCACAAACAAAGCCCTGTACCAAATAAGAGAAACCACATTACATGAGGACTACCAACAGCAGCAACAACTAAACTGGATAACACATTGAACAGAAAATAATGACATAATCAAGATATTCACATTCCACACACTTCAAATGAAAGGTTAGGAAGGAAACTGTGCTGGAGAATTACTTCAGAGGTCCAAGAGGGTCAGAGTGGTGTAGCCTAAACTTGAGCATAAGATGAGCAAATTGTGAGTGAGGTGAACCGTACGAACATTGGTGCTGGAATGACATGGAACATGCATCACTGTGCCAAAACAAGGCTGGCAGTGTGTGCAAGATGCAAATTTTCTGGTTTGGCAAACATGAGTAAAAGAGGCAAGTGTTTGTTGGGATGGGAGTAAGCTCTTGCACTCAGCACAGTTCAGATTGGTGTATTGTAGTGTGTACTAAACCAGAGTCCCTTGCGAGTGTTGTCCCAGCGTCTGTGCTACAGAAGAAACTATTTCCTGTTACAGAAAGTCCCCAGCAATACTGGAAAGGGTGGTAACAGCTACCTGACTTGAGAAACCCATTTCTCAGAAAAATTATTTTAAGGGAAAGATTTTATAAATTTCAACAGACAGCAGTATTAGCTGTTCAGTCAATGAATGTCAAATTTTTCCTTATAGGGAAACAGCTAATATTACCATTACAAATAACAGAGTATGATTTACATATAAAACTTTTGAATAATTTAATATAGCATACCTAATATTGAAAATAAGTAAAAATTAATACAAAGAAAAGGGAGTTTTAACATTCTTTTGTATATATGAAGGATTGCTAAACAGTTTTCAACCTAGTCAGGAATGGATTCTTATGTGTTTGGGTGGGAGGAAAGTTCTTACAGTTTATAGATTCACTGTTCTACAAACAAAACAAAAATTCCTTCCAACCATATATATAATAAAGTAAAAAAAAAAAAAAATCTGATGTTTGGTTATTTGGGAAGTAGATAAGGCTTCAAACCTTTCAGCACCTTCTCTCTCAACCTTCCAAAACAGCCCTATTTAATAACAACAATTATAATTAACAATTTATCATCAGCCATAGTGCAGGAAGAAACCAAAAGGAATTATTTATCAAACAATTAGTTGCTGGATAAAAATATGTCTGATCCTAATTAAAATAAGTGCTTGTGATGAAAAAATTAATTAACAAAATTATTTCTGTAAGTTTCTTAATGAAGGTGTAATGATATTAAGCAAGTATTGTCAATGTTTATACCAACTTGCAAACAAATGATTCATACAAAAATGGCTGAAGACTAAAGTTTTCAATTTATTTTTGCTCTTAAGAGCTTATAAAATCTGCTTAAGTACCTCTTTTAATTTAAGGGAACAATTCTAAATATTTTGCATAAAGAAAGTTTGTAAATATAATATGGTGCTTAGAAGGGTATTAAGAAAGAATTCCAGCTGCTGAAATTAGAAAGTTTTTTTTTCATATAATGAGGCTTGAAGTGGTATTAATAACAGCCTACATAAAAAATAGATAAATCATAAAAAAAATGAATACTAAATACTAGAAGCTTGATAATCAACTAGGCAGTACATCTATATGCAGTGTCTCTTCAGGATATTGTTGATCAAAGCTCTCCACAATTTCCTCTCCTGGCAACTGTAAATAAAATTTGTCTTTTTATCTCCCTTAAACCCTGTTCTGCTATCCATCTATTCAAGCTCACTAGGTAGGCTATGAATTGTTTTCCTCTGTCCCTCTTGATTTCAAACCATACTGTGAGTATCAAGTTTTCCAAACCCTCTTTCCTTATTATGTGCCCTATAAATTTCAACTATCTCTTCTTAATGTTAAGTGTCTTTTTTGGTTCCATTTTCACATACTAAGAACACACACACACACACACGTTGCCACCTGTAACAAGATTGACCACAATTTTGACATAAAAATGCTACTCTGATCAAAGGAGGAAATAATTCACAACATAAATCTCTAGAGAGTGCCTTGATTGCAAGGCCAACTACAGTAAATTTGTGCCCTGGCTCTTACAACATTTCACCATTCCTGGCAGATCTTCTATTATCACAGTGTTGAATACCAACTAACAAAAGTGATGGAAAAAAGAAAAAGGCTCTAAATGAATTCAGCTAGATGAAGAAAAAAAAAAAAAAAAAAAAAAAATCAAACTTTTTCCACTTTGTCATACAATTTTCCCTGTGTGTGTGTGTGTGTAAGACAAAAGTAGGCAAAGCAACAATACTAAGGTAAAAAAGTTCAAAAAGTAAGAAGGGATACAGACAAGTGATCACAGCATTCTGACTTCAAACAAGAAAGAACAAAACTAAGTAAGATGTGACTGAGAAGTGGTCTATCTTAATGGCTAAGAAGGAATCCCAACATGCATCTGTATGGTTTGTCTATAAATTTAGGGTAGGGGATGTTTTTGAAGTCATTCCAACTAGATTGAAACCCAATACTGTTGCTTCAAATCTTTTCTTCATCTGCGAGGGGATAATCTATCATTCACTGCTATAAGAGGTATGTATAACCTAAATATGAATTCAACAATCATGAAAGATTGATTTATTGCAGAGGTAAATATTTCGACTTTTTACCACATTTAAGTTGGTTATTCTCCAAATCAAAATGTATTCACATAAACCTACAAACATACAATATGCATATATGTAAATTCTTGCACATATGAAGAGTAACTGTGTAAGGTTTGAGTTTCAAGTTCCTAACTTGAGTTAATGCTTTTATTGTCATAATATACACTGGTCTTATTTGAACAAATTGTGAAAAGCCACTCTAAATATCAATGACATACAGCTTCAACCTTTGTACAAGGACAAAAACAAATCTGCTCTTTGCTGTTCCTATTTAAATCAATGACATCAAAATTAAACACAAAAAAAAGGGCAATTAAAGATCTATATTAAGAATAAATTTTGGTGGCAAATTTCTTTTCCAATGCTGCAAAAAGAGGCTGTCCCAGAAATAATTTACATATACTCACTCTGTTCAATCCCCAACTGATTTTGAATTATTAATAACTTTCAGATTGGTTAGTTGGTTTGGTTTGGTTTGGTAGCATATCAACTTCCATGGGTTATTAATGCCAAAATCTAAATATTTTGTACACGATTTTATTTTATTTTATTTTTAAAATAATGATTTCAGTGATACAAGTCTTGTTAATTAACCCATAGCTGGGGGGAGAAGAGGTAGATTCATATCTTTCCCAAGGATATTTGTGCAAAAGTGAATATAACAAATCCAAATGGAATTGAAACTTGTCTCTCTGATTAATAACCCATTACACCACCCACCCATCCAAGCTTACAGCACCTGGTATTCCCAAGTGGTCACCCATCTAGATACTGACCAGGCTCAATGTTGCTTAGCTTCAGTGATCCTATGGAACCAGTGTTTCAACATGATATGGGCTTAAGTCATAACTATCCATTTCTTTCTGTGAGCATTAGTTAATGAAAAATTGCTTAAAAAATCCTGGTTAGAAATTACACTCTTCATTTTTACCAGGCTTAAGTTCTGTTTAAACTTTTTATCTTAAAACCTTTAAAGAGCATGAGCTATAGATGTTTGGTACTCCACTTAGATTTGAAGTTTTTGTAATGGACATATTGCAATAAACAATTAAAAAGTGAATAGGAGATGAGAAACATAGTTGTTAATAATAATAACATTAATTTGATATTTAGGTTACTAGTTTTATGGAAACTTATGTTTGAAGCTTTGTAATAGGAATGGTTATGAATACAATTGAGAGCTGATATTTACAGGGTGGGTTGAATGCTAAAGGGTTAAAATAATAGGAAATATATATATATATATATATACATATATATATATATATTTGTCACTCAGACAAGTGAATTATTTTAATTGGAATCTCATCATATAATTCTGCTTGTTCTTTAGTTAGTTATCACATGTTACACCTTACTGCTGAAACTTGAATAAAGCATGGAATAATAATAATAATACAACACAAAATGTACTTAAACAAAATGTATTGAAACAAGAACGTGTACACAATATTTACAGATAGTTGGTATATTCTTGGGAAGACCGTTCCTGTAGAATGGGTTGACTTAGTTGCAATCGAGCAGAGTCTCTGGATTGGATCTCTTCTTCCTCCCCCGTCTTCCCGGTACCAACCATATTTATATGGTCGGTACTCCACTATGTAAATTAGGTGGATTGTACCACAACACTTACCAATACCTCATAAATATAGGACATTCCCATTTCAATCAAGACATATCAGAATGTTTACTTTGACTGAGATAGAGGAGTTGATAAAGATAATGTGTGTAACATCTGCTTCCGTGAGAATAGGAAAACTCATCAATTTCAAATCTTTTCATTTGTATCCCCTTATTTCTTTAAATAATGATCTACATTCATACTTATGATTGTTATTGCAATGATTGGTTAAATTTGTTAGGCTGAAATATTTAATGATGCAACAGGAGAATTTCCACCAGTATTTTACAGCTGTTGAACTTGCAAGGAGCTTATTCAATCATTAACTTAATAATTAGGATTCATCAGAAAATTTAAATAACAAAACCATAAAAATTTCATAGAACTACAAGTTCATAATAGAAAAAAAAAAAAAAAAAAAAAAACAAAACATCCTCTTCACTATGACTAAATTTGATACATGACAATGATAAACAAAATTTGTCACAATTAGAACATAACAAACCATTAAGAATAAAACCAAGCTACAAATAGAAGTGACATTTATCTAGGGTAAGTCCTATTTGTTATCTACTAAAGTTTTCATCTATTTTGAATGAAATTGAAAATAATACCAATTTGAAACCTACAGTTTACACTAGGTAAAACAAAAAAGAAAAACAAAAGTTAACATTTCCTGCAATAAGTTAAAATCTAGTCAGGTCAATCTATAAGTATCATACCCCTATTGATGTGTATGAGTAGGTGTATAAGCATGAACAACAATAAAAAAAATAAAAATAAAAAAAAAAAAATTACATTATTTAAAAAAAAAAAAAAAAAAAAAAAAATTATTAACATGAAACACAAATGGACCCCCCTCTCAGAGATAAAGCACTAAGCAACAAAATGACTGGTTCAATCCTAGTACAAAATAAGTTAGGCACATTACTTTTCATTTACAAAGAAAATTATCGTTAATAGAAGTATTCACAGGATATGCAAAATGGCAGCGACAAAAGCTAAAAATCTAAATGCAGTTGTTTACTTTGCTCATGCAGAAAGAAAAGAAAAAAAAAAGAAGCAGAGGAAAACTTTGCTATTTTTTAAACTTTCAGCTCCATAAAGCAAAAAATGGAATATAAACTTGAAAAGCAAAACCAAAAATTCAATAAAGATGAAGAAAATAAGAAAGTGGGGGAGGGGGGAAACTGAAAGGCTTAGGCATGGAAATTATCATACTTACATTACTTTTCATATACTATTTACATTATTCGGACTATTGTCCTCATCTTTGTCGCCATATTTATTACAACATTTCGGCCATTGTATGCTCTGGGTCCTGTCACTGGATCTAACCAACGCCTTTATCCACTGTGCCATGTGTCCTTGAGAGTGTGAGTTCAATATCCATTTAAGACAGTGGAGAACTTGGAGAGGGGAATTGACAGGAGATAACTGACAACTGACATCCATTAAACATGGCACATGAAACTAGAATAGTCTACCCCAGTGAGTGAAATAATTGGTTCAGTTCAACATTTCACTACCTGAAGAAGGCCAGAGCATACAATAGCTGAAACGTTGTAATAAATATGGCGACAAAGAGGAGGACAATAGTCCAAATAATGTAAGTAGTGTAAAATATTTTCCATTCTTAAATCTACATCAAACACTATTTTTCATTTGTTCATAGTATAACAGGTTCAGTTTTATAAAACTAATATAAAAACTTTAAAAAATTCTAGTCAGTTCATTTGAACTTTGGAAAATGGGATAGAAATTAATATGTGCGCGTGTGTGTAAAGTAATTTTCAATTTTAAAATTGTACAAGCTATATAAATAGGTGCAGACAAAAAAGGTATTTGATTCTACATATTCAACGCCCTCACCCAGTTCAACAAGCTTAGCAGACTTTCTTAAATTTTTGGTTACCCTTAAAGAAATGAAATATATATAAAATAAAGTAAAATTCAAATATTTGGTCATTTGAAATACTGATTTTGAGACGTGGATAGGCAAGAACTTTTCAGTTGAAAACACTAATGTTACATTATCTTTTATGTTCAGAGCTGAAAGCGAAAAGAAAGAAGGAAAAGGAATAGAGAGAGAGAGAGTATAAAGAGAAAAGAAAATGATGAAAAGGAGAAATAACAACATCTGACATATACACACAAAAGAGGAGAAAAAAAATATTTTTTAAATCTTAAAAAAAACGACCTGTCAATGACTAGCACATAAATTAATTACATCAAATCAAACTAATGAAATTAAGATAATGAAAAAGAGAAAAACAGCAGTCAATTGCTGAAACCTCCTGAGGAGTGGACTGAATGATTATCAACACATTTATTTAAAAAAAAAAAAAAATGAAGTCGAGGTACTGAAAATAACATCAATCAAGTCATAAATTTTTATTTTTATTAATCCTACACACACATTTTATATATATTATAATATATAAAATCCTAAAGAGCCAGGAACTACCTACCTAGGTTTCACTTAAATCTATCTTCCAGGTAAACTGGCTGAAGAGGATATAACACGCATATATATGCATGCATACACACACGTGTGTGTACTAAATTTGGTGTCTGACAAAATTTAATTACATTTTTAGATTACAAAAAAAGATTAACTATAGGGAAAAAAAAATCAGACAGGTTGCAATTTCAACACTGATTTGCCAACAACTTTTCAAATAATATATCTTTTCACCCCCCCCCAGTGATGAAGATAAAATAAACAAGAATATTCTTTTTTTCACCTCTTACACTTCTTTAGCTCACCTCATAACATGTTGAAGTAATTGGCTGTTGTATAAGATCCTTAATCATAGCTAATTTGAAATTAATCAGTTAACATTTATAAACCAAGGGTAAAAATCAACCACCGAAACAAAAAAAAGAAAAAAACATAAGTGAGGAAAGGTAGTACTAAAAAGAGATTCAAATAAATGCAGTTTATTTTAAATAAATAATTTCCCCACCCTAAAGTCTAATTTTTACAGTAGAACATTGCAAACAGTTATAGCATTTTCTCATTTCCCACACGTGGTCTGGTGCCAATTGTTTTATAAATAAAATCTTTAGTTTGTTTCCAGGAAGCATACATATCACAACCAGCAGTACAATTATTAATGTCTACTTGGTACCTAAAGCCAGATGCTGCTACCAGATGGTTTGAGCCAAATCAAACTCCATTTTATTTAGAGTAAATTACATGTACCTATCATGGCAAGCCTTTTTTTCACATGGCTCAAGCAAAGACTGCATTATTATTAAAAGGTGTTTACATTCAGAAAAGCTAATAAGCTTTGCCAGCAATATAATAGCACTTGCTCAGTTTTATTATGCATAAGGTAATGCGGTTAGATTCGATTAATGGCACATTTTAATGGCATAATTACCTATTATACAAGGAGAACTAACACATCAATAACATCAGTGACAAGGTAAGTCCAGCTGCTGACCAGGGCTTAACCTGGTCATTTTCAAATGATGGCTTTACAAAGGGAAACAGAAGGAGATCAGTGAAGATAAACACCAATACAATTACTTTAAGATGAAAACAAATTAAAGCACAATCATAATAGATCAATCAGCAATAGAACATATGGTTAAACAAGTCATGAAAGATATTTTTAATAGGTAACATCGAAGCAAAATAATAACCAGTTATCAGGTTTATTTATTCCAAGTTGACAATCAAGAAAAATAAATAAATATAGTATATTCTTAAAAAGTTATTTGGTCTGATAAAAGCAATAAGAATTTATATATAGAAATGCACTTTTAATGCATATAAAACAAAGTGAATTTAGGTTTGCCTATCATCCAGTTCACACTCTGCCCCAGTCTTGTGAGCAGGAGTAGCAATTTATCCCTTGTTTCCCCCCCATGCAGGATTGGATTTCCAGTCCATCCTGAAGTCTCCCTCAGCTTTACACTCCTAACACTTGTCTTTTTTATGCTACTATAACACCACACAGTAACACTACTTTGAGTGGCTCTAGGGCCTTGTATTGGGGAACATTAGTATAAAAAAAATTTAAAAAATAGACGTTTTAAAATTATTATATACCATGATTGTTTACTTCTATGTTTTAAATTACTCTTTTTAATTCTCTAAAATTAAAAATTTACATATCAAGACAAAAAAAAATATTAAATTATTGTAAGTTCACACATTGAACACAGACCTGGCCTGATAATCCTACATGATTTAAAAGTATGTC